TATTTGTAAAAGTTCATTTTGTCTCTCAACATTGTACGTGCACGAAAATCCTTTCCCGAATTTTTGTTACGTTTATTATGTTTCCTAGATGGTTTTCGCTGGGTGATGCGGGTTGGGATAGATTGATAATTATTCATAGGAGTTGTATCTTCTGCAATAATTCCACTATTACTGGGATTAATTACTGTGAGATCTAGACAATGGGGACTACTTTCATTATGTTTGCCATGGTAGTGTAAGTATCTTTTGTTAATATTAGATTGACAAATCTCCACACATTCCTTCTCAATTATTTGGCTAGTATTTAATTGATCCTGAATGACTTGTGGATTGTGGTGCAGATCATGACATGGGTTCTTTAAAATTGGTGTATTATTTGAACAACTCTTAAAATTTGACTTGGAATGACTAGGCAAATACTTTCCTACTAAGGTTTCGACTATACTGTCCGTATTATTCTGCTTTTCGATTATATTGTCCGTATTATTCTGCTCAGGTTCGACCGAGAAATACAAGCGAGTAGGTGTAATCACAGACGCAATGGGGCTATTATAATTCGTACATTGTACAACACATTCAGCCGATGTATTATTGGGAGATTTACTTAGTTGATCCAACGGTATAGATTTTGCATCGGTTGTTGATGCTTCTAATTTCGCCAAGGTTTCCTGCATTCTAACAAGCGTATTTGCCTGTTGTTTCACTGTTGATTCCAAGATAGTGACATCCAATTTAACGCCTTCGATATCAGAACTGACTTCAGGGCATTTACACATGTTATGAGACGAGCGAATATTATGGTCGTCAGAACCAATGTCATGCAAAATCAACATCAGAATTGAACGTTTGACTTCACTTGCCTGCTTTCCCTCTATCCTAAGAAACTTCTTTTTAGCCCACCAATGGATATCAACGTTGTTGCTTTTAAACAACTTTTTCTCCCCACCGATCGATGACTATGTTCCTTCGAAATTTAATTCGCTATCAACAAACAATTTCAGCGATTCATAATCACCAGACCACGATAGTTTTAGTTCAGGATATCGATTTATTTTATCGATTTACTGTTATTTGTAGTTGGTGACGACAAAACGATCGAGTCTCGTGGGATTAAATAGAATAAAAGATGATGGTGATGCCATAGTAATGGTTGTGAGGGATACACCGAGGAACATGTTTAAAAGGGGACGGGGGGGGGGGGCAGGATAGTACGCGAGCTATGCTACGCAGGCAAGCTGGATTTTACCCGGTAATCTTTTTACCGACCGAAAAAAATGAGGGGAGGGGCGGGGCCCCTCTTTTTCCGCGGTCAGTAGTTGTGGTGGTCGTTGTATTAGTAATACAAGGGGCCATTCACAAAGGATGTCCGGCCAAAGGATGGATTTTCAGACCCCCCTTCCCCCCTTGTCCGCCATTGTCCGAATTAGTGACACCCTCCCTCCCCCCGGACATCCGTCATGACTCGCAAAAACTCACGCAACCTTGTATATGTCAAGAGCAAAGAACTTTTTTTACTTTTAGAACTTTTTTATAACTATAAATGTGAATACAAAAACATAAATTACTAATTAAAACAAAATCTAGTATTAACCGCATAGTCAAAATGCCAATTTCACAATGGGAAGGACTGCTCAAAATAAAGGGAAAAAGAAATTTGTTTTTGATTTTTTTAAATTTCGGACATCCGGATTGCCAAAAAAACCCCTCCCCCCCTATGTCCGAGTTTGTCCTGATTTTCCCAACCCCCCTCCCTTCCCTCGGTTCGGACATCCTTTGTGAATGGTCCCTAAGTGGTAATGGGGACGATAGTTGCTAGTGATATAGCCTGCATGGCAGGCGGTCTAAAATACCGCCTGCTGTGTTTGGCAGTGTAATTTGATACCCGCCCACTTTTTGTCCGGGTCCAATTAGCCAATCAGCAAACACTAAATATATTAATAATCAAACTGTCAAACACTCAAACTATGTTATTGTTTGGTCGCAAAATTGCAAATATAAATCGAAAGAAACGCCATTGAAAGTTTCAATCAGGGCCTCTAAATAACGACAAGAGGTAGAAAAGGAAGCGCGGAAAATGTAAATGACCACTGCAGTCGTTTGTGTATTAAGTGTGCTTTGAAACTAAAACACGGGGCAATAGAGTAAATATCTTAAATATCGTCGGAGAATTTATATTCATGGCAAGCAAAAGAAACGATTACGACAGTGGTAAAACCTTGACCGATCAATATAAGCCGAATTGTGTTCAGTTCATTTAGGAATCGAAGTTAGTTCTACCTCGAAACTATCCGACCGAGTTTGTAAACCGTGCGGGCGGAAGATCCGAAACGCAATCGAGCTGATTGCCTAAAATCAAACAAGACACAAACGCGTTGCCCGCTGTGTACGTATCGAACAAATAGACCGTTGTATAAAAACGTCAGTTGCCAATATAAACTGTCTCGTCTCCCTATAATGAAGCCGTGTGTTAAAGAAAGCCTTAAAAAGTTCAGAAAGTTAAGCGGCTAATAGGCTTAGGTGTATAGTAGTCCTGTTAAACCCGTTGGCGTTGCAATAACGGCCAAAACATTCTTTCGAAGGAGTAAATCTTTAAACTGGTATCTCTTGCTCGCGTTTGAGATTTGACAATCAGTTCGCGTTTCGACTTTCGAGAAGCGTTCCGAATTAATACAACAGCTAAGCGAATTAATGCTGTGTCGTGACATATTACGAGCGGTTGTCTGTAATAGTCAGGTAAGACGTGTAAAATGAGAAAATTCAAAATCCTTCAAACTTTGTCAGAATGTAGGCCTATATGAAGTATTAATGTTGTGAAAGTTTTATTTCGATTGGTTAAATATTTAAGGAGAGAGACGTCGAAATTGGTTTTCCCAGGCCACTTTCGGTTTTCGGAGGTCATTCTACAGCACTACCAAAATCGCTCTATTTTGCACAATAATGGGAATATTTCACAAAATATGATTTCGTTTTTATAAATTAGAGATATTTATTGATTAGCAGACGAAATTTAAAGACATTCCTGTGAAAAGTAAATATTTTACAGATTTTCTTAATGTTTTTCTATTTTCGAACCTCTTTATTATAGACCATATTGGACAGCGAATATCTCCATTGTTACATCGATTCAGACAAAAAGTTTAGAACCAGGTCAAAGAAATATGTTTTCGCTTGATATTGATCAAATAAAATTTTTGGGCAACTCAGAATTGAATTTTTGACGAATTTTTTCGTTACCCCTATTTTGACCTGAATAGCCGTATGTTTACATAATCAACGTGACAACGTCGAGCCATGTCGTTCAATACTAATATAACCAAAGAGCTCGTCAAAAACGTTTATTTCGTTAAAATATTACTTTAGCTAATGCTGTATGACTGTCTAAAAGCATTTAAGTCGAAATCACACTTTTCACATTCACTAGTTGTTCAGGTTTGAAGGTCGAACAGGGGCATACTGAAACGCTTTTATAGTCAACACTCCGCATCAAACTCCGGAAATTGTAGAGAACACTCCTTTCAGGTGATAATTTGGGCGTTCTGAGCTCAACGTGCTTGTTCTCAGATATAAACGGGGAAATTGAATCGTATATAGTTCTTAATAGATTCTTATTCGATCTAAATTAAACAAATATAACAAATACATATTACAATACTATCGCTAAATGACATTAATACATCAATAAGATAAACTTACACAGGTGTTCTGTGAGGCTTCCCACGTTCACATCTGGTGTCTGATACTTATTTTATCTGGTTAGCAATACTGGTTAGCTTGTTTCAACTTATAAACAGTGTCTGGTTAGCGCGAAACCTTTGTTCAGTTCTGCACTGTTCTGTTCGGAATACTAATGTAGACAAATGTCGATCAAAACTATATTGTTTACTTCAAGCAGTTAATATTAACTAATAGTTACATCAAGTCTGTCCCGTCAGCGGAGCAATAATAATGACTAAAGAAAGCTTTAAACATCTTACCATGATACTGCAGTTATCAAGAAATATCTAATTTATATATTTAGTTTGAGGCGAAATGGCAAAATGCTGATTTCGAGTTGAAACAGTGCTTGTGAACAGGTGGGAAATTTGTCTGAGCATGCGCGAGTAAAATGAGCCACGCAATTGTACGTGGAATACACGCAACGCGTGTTTACAAAAAAGCACAATCGTGTAAATATTGCCAAATGTTTGTACAAAATAAATGACTGTTTTCTGTTGAAAGAGTGGACATGATCTAAATTAATCATACAGAATTTTTTAGTGACGTTCTATTTCAGTACCCTGCCATTGTCTCTGGTGTGCTGTCCGTGTGCATTCGATCTGAAACAGTTGCTACTTTGCTGTCGAAGAATTTCGAATGTTTACATGAAAATAGAGGCAAGTCATGCATTTTACAACCTCTCAAACTGTATGAGCCCCTATTTTTACGCTTATACCTAAGATATCAAATAAAAGTACATGAAACAGAGAACATTTGTAGAAAGTTTTATTGTGAGGCCACGGCCAGTTTTTAAAATATCTTTATTTCTGTTCCGGTCATCACCAAAATTACACAAAAGCCGGGCTTGAATATACAACAAATTTTGAATCTCATCAAGCACAAAAATATTTAACGTGTAACCAAAATATGCTCATGAAATCGAAATTAATAGCTAAATTTTCAAACTAGACCCTTCTCGAAGCGGTTTTTATAAAGGAAGTTCACATTTCGGCCTTTCATTCTTGGCAAAAATTTGACCACAACACGTGCGAAGCAACTGGGTCTCAACGACTGAACTAAAACATTGTGAGCCCCTATTTTCCAGACGATATGTTTGATACCTACAAACGCCGAAAAGGTTTTGCTTTTCATTTAGCTATATTTGAAATTGAGGCCACGGGCCATTTTTGAGAAAATACAGTTCAAAGTCAAGCTATTTTTACATATTTTCAAAATATGTCAAATTTCGCGAGCTTGTATTTTGGATTTAGACAGCCGAAGTTACATTAAGAAACATAGGATTAGGCCGTCACATAAGGCTAAAAATATGCCTAGAAAGTGACTTTCGTTGCACACATCGGGAGGCTAACGATTTCTTTCATAAAGTAGTAGAGGAGCATGTCAAATGAAATAATAAAAAAAGCCCCCGTTCATAAGTGTGCACAACAACGAGAAATCGACTATATTCTGGTGATGACGTCATCTATAGTTCCGAAAGGTAAAAATGTTCGAATTTCGAAAAATGTTTAATGCCATCAGATTGAGGTGCATAATTGGACAAAAAAACTTTATTACACTGAAAACTTGCAGTCGTTCGTTACAGAGATATCACGTTCCAAAGTTTTAAAAAAATGCTGAGTCAGCATTTTTGTTTCTCCAGTAAAGCTTATATTGACAGACTGTATGCAGGGAAAGGGCTTATTTTGCACTAGTACCTTAAATTGTGCACCACTGTGTGTGAATTAAAGTGGTTATGGAAGTCAGAAAACTAAAATGCGACTAAAATATTCAAATTGTTTACCCGTCATCTAAAGCCTTTGAAAGAAACCTAGAAGATGAAATCTGTAGCACATGTCGCCAGACTAACTAATTTCACCATGATCGGACAGTTCTTTTGAAGTAGTTCTGATATTGCATGGCCATATTTTACCAATGCACGCTGCACACAAGCAAGCCATGGCTTATTATTACTCAACAGGCACATTACTCAACAGGCAATATCACTGAACATTGAAAATCTGCTATGAATTCCACTCTGTAGATCGAATAACGTCTTTACAAGAAATTCATTTAGTAAAGTTATTCATTCAGCTACAGGCAGCCAAGGGTCCATAAGCCACTTCACAGTAGCTAGCTTTTTCTTAAGCAATATAGAAGCATGATACAGAATTTGTAGTTCGTTCATTCAATATGGACTGTGTAGCACTGTGATTATCATCATATCCCATGTTGTACAAAACCATTGAAGTTGTTTCACATGATGTCTTACTGTATCCTGTCCATACAAATCGTTAGTATAATTCTTGTATCATTTATTATGGTACAGTACTTAACCTCAATGGCAACACAATCTTTTCCACAATTTTTAAATAGATCCTGTAGTTGATCTTTTTCTTTGTGCCAGCTTCTCACACGAAAGGTTTTTCTTCACGGGTAATAATTTTAGAATAAATATTATTCAGGTGATTATTTTGCTATGTGATCGCTGTACCATTTACTAGCAACTGTATAATGATTTCATTTAATGATAAATATACCATATAATTACAATGTAAGACATACTGTACCATGACAAACAAATCGAATTGTTTCTCGCATATTATGCATACTTGGGGCAAAACATTTGGTGATCTATCCTTCATGTCACTATTTTGGGGACCATCATTGTCAAGTGATGAGTGTAAAAGCTTCTTTGGTGGAACAGTCTGCAACTTCACAGCCAATTAAGTTTTCACTGCCTCATGTTCTCTTTTCCTCCACTTTTTGCAACTTGTTTTTTCAGTCGAGTTCCCAGTGCCTCCTGAGGTCCCCATTTAATTTTTATGTGGGGCCTTATTTTTTCAAAAATTTAAATTTCAAAATATTTTTTCAATATTTCTTAAAAATAACAAATTTTTCCCTATCTATGTCTACTATAAAGGGGGTGCAAATTTCACAATTTCACCAATTCCTGCTTTTGGGGGCCACCTGTTGCAAATTTTCTGACCCTATAAAACTGAGGCTGAGGCCAATTTTCCCAATGTACTAGCAAAATGTTTATGGTCATTTTTTGTCGGAGGAGGGGGGGGGGAGTCATGGTAGCCACCGCTTCTGAGCACCCAAACACCCTTCGAGTTCTCCACAGCAGTTAGAGCGTGATAAGGTCAGTAAAATTTTAACTTCCAAAAAAAAAGATCAAAGTGCTTACAGCCTGACACAAAACCACCTCAGATATTTGTAAATTTTCCCTTACCCCTCAAAACAATAAAACACATCAAAGTATGCCGACAGGCTTAACCGCACAGAAATGACTTTGGGGTCACCATCAGAAAAATTTATCCAAAGAGGACGGGGGGGGGGGGGTCTGGACATTAAAGATGCGGTACAGTTCGATCTGCGCATGTGAACAAAGGAGCCCTCTTTTTATTATACAAACAGTAAAAGCGTAATTGTTGTGTCTTGATAATTTACATATCGATCACTCTAGAATCATGAAAATATAAATAGTTGTTGAATGAAATTCAATGTTTTGGATACCGACATGTAAACAAAGCCTTTGTTTACATACAGACAGTACCGCACTTTAAACTTAATGTACACCC